AGGTATACTTTTTACAAAAAAGATTCTTAGCTAGAATGCAGATGCCACAAGCAGAGAGACTGTATTTTTATAGTTTTTACATTGTGGAGTCTTTCACCCTGTCCTGTGACTATGAGTTACGCTTGTGCATGGATACTGTCCCAACTGATGGTGTCCTTGCAGCATGCCCGAGTGTGCCTTAGCTTTCTTCTCAGGTTGGCATAAACGAGCCAGTCAAGAATAAAACCCAACATTCTGTCTCAAGGGGACTGGCTATCATGCACAACTCATGGGCCTTACTTTGATCTGTGTCTGTGGCCACCTGATCCCCCATGAGGTCTTTGTATTTGCATAGCTTGTGACTTTAGCTGGGAGACTGAAGGACATAGTGTACCAAGTCCAGTTATATGCATTATCTTACGTAATTCTGACAACAGGCCTTTGGGGCAGGTGTCCTGGTCTTCCTTACTCCGCTGATGAGAAAATGAAGGCTCAGCTGTTACATAAGTTGACTGAAGTCACGAGGGGAGCTAGTGGTAGAGCTGACTTCCAGCTCAGCTTGTTCTGACCTCACAGCCAGGCTCTCATTTGCCTCTGCTGTTTCTGTTTTTCCATCACATTCTCGTTGCCGTTAACAGTGAGATTTAAGTGTATGGTGTGATTCTTGTTGAACCTTAAATACCATTTCTGAGGTGACCTCTGAACTGTTTTACCTGCCAATCATTGACACTAAGTCCTCTGCGTTGAATCTGCACCTTTTCCCCCTTTTATTTCTGTTACCATTGTGTTTACTCTGTGTGTTGGCAGCTGAGACCAAAAAGGAAATGCAGAAAAAGAATCTAACAGTTTTCATAACGTAAACCAAATGTTGGTGGCGTGGGCGTGCTCTTGAGAGGAAAGGCGCTATATAAATTTGACAAATAAATAAATAATTTGTCCTTTAAATAAACTGGCACTCAGAAGCCTTGCTCAGTAGTCTGTCTCCCTTTGCTCACCGTATGTGAGCTCGGCATTCATGAGCCGAATTGGGGTCACAGGTCGGGTGGAAGGAAGAGAGACTGGTCCGATTGGGCTGCCACTGCTTTGGGGATGATCCCAAGAGTGTCTTGGTCGTGGCTGTTTTGGTGGACAATGCATTCTTAGATGCTTCAAAAAGATCGATGAGCACTGAGAGGGGGTTGAGGTTCAGGTGAAGGCCAGTGAGTAAAGTTCACAGGATATATTTTGAGGATGAGTACTGAATTACTTTATTAATCTCTGCAAATAGCAATTACAGCTGCAAGCTCTGAGCCATTCTTTTTCCCCGGATATGTCGGTCTTGTGACCTACCCCTGGAATCCTTTTCCACCCCCCATTCTTGAAACTTGCAATGAGGAGCAATGCGGGTGAAAGACTGCCGTCTTTGAAATCTGTCCAGGCCCTGGCTTCATGAATCCTAGGACTCGGCTGCGGGGGGGGGGGGGTCGGGGATGGGGGATGGGGGAGCATTCTGGCTAGGGCTCATGAAAGCGTCTTTTCCTGAGGCGGCCAACCCAGGCCAGCTCTAGAGTTACAATCTGGAAGGTGAGAAGATGAGGACTAAGCGGAAACAGGACCATGGGTCCCGCCAGCTGCTAAGGCTCTGGTTACAGAACTGAGTGGTGCCGCCATCTTGGAGCCATCAGGGGAACGGACCTGTGGGGGTCACCTTTGAAGGTGGTAACATGGTGGCAGAAGGGGCAAAAGAAGAGAACCTGAGAGGGGCTGTCCCTGCTGCTGTTTCTTCCAAGTAACAAGGGGTTTGGGGAGCGAATGTGAATAAAGCCTCCGAAGTATCTTTGTGCTTTTCCGAAAGGCCCCCATTCAGGTTTTGGGCCCCTAGCTGATGCCTTAATTTGAAATTTCAAGGGCAAGCCCGGGTTGCAAATATGTGCTTGTTTGGAGACCCTTGAATGGGTTCCTTAAAGACAGCAACCTAGCTCAGGTTTGTGCTGGTGACAAGAGAGCACCTGCACCTACCGGACTTCACCCTGGTGGGGCCCGTTGACAGGGTCGGCCTGGCAAATGAGAGTGCTTTTGTGTGTGGGACAGAAAAGAGCATGCACGTGCAAAGTTGCTCTCGGACATGTTAAAATGTGGTGACTTTTACAGTGCTTGCAGGGGGGACAGTAAAAACTCACCCAGGAGTCAGATCCTGTCCTGCTCTGATCTCTCGATCTCTAAGGTTAAGGGTTTAAGTCTTGATGGGCTAGAAATCTGTTAGCCACCTGTTGACACAGATTGATTCAAATCTTAACCCAGTTGTTTGGCTAAATCTATTAACAAAACCATGGCTTTTGTTTTCTTAATCTTAACAATTCTGACCGGAGTAAGATGGAATCTCAAAGTAGTTTAGTTAAGTTTGCATTTCATAAGGCTAAGGGTGGCCAGCAATTTTGAAAATCTTTCTTAGCCACATGTGTTTCTTCTTCTAGCCCATGTTTTAATGTGATCATTTTTTTCTTAGTGATTAGTTTTAGTTTAGTTTTTAATTCTTTCTATATTCTAAGTACTAATCCTTTGTTAGACATAACTTAGCAAAGTCACCCTCTCCCGATTTAGGTGACCTTGAGTCGTTAACAGCTTCCTGAAGTACAGAAACTTGAATTTCATGGAGTCATGTGTGAAGGTCTTACTTCCTGGATAGTTTGAATCCTATTTAGAAAGCCCTTACCTAAGGCTGTATCCTGAAGTGTACACCCTACTTTTTGTCTTCTGGAAGTTGGCAGATTGGGGTCTGGCATTGAGATCTTGGGTCCATGTGGAGTTGATTTGTGTGCAGGGTGAGAGGGAAAGGTGACATTTCATTCTATTTGTAGCTACCTAGTTTGACCAGCACCTTTTTTTTTGGTTGGAGATGTCTTCTTTTCTTCTATCTGCAGTGTTTTCCATCCTTGTCAAAAATCAGGTGGCTACAGGAGTGTGAACTTAATGGGTCCTTGATTCTATTCCATTGATAAATGTGTCTGCTGTTATTATCTAGTATGCTCTTTTTAGTTCTTATGGGATATCTGACTTGAAATAAGAGGTGATGATAGCTCCCATGGTGTTTGTATTGTTCGGGACTGTTTGGCTGTTTGGGTTTTTATTGTTTCCCTCTAAATTTTAATTTTTTTTTCAATTTCTGAAAAATTTAAAAGTTTGAATTTTTATGGTAGTTTCTTTGAATCTGTAAATTGTTTTTGTTGCTAGGATGGCCATTTTCACAATATTAATCCTACTGACCCATGTGACCGGGCGGGGGTCTCTCATCCTCTTCATTCAATATTATAAATTTTTCATAGTACAGCTTTCTCACTTCCTTGGTTAGTCTAACCCCAAGGTGATTTTTGTCTTTAGTTAAAAAATGTTTATTATATTTATTTATTTATCTCTGTGAGAGTGTGTGGTCAGAGGACAAGTCATGAAACTCAGTTCACTTCTTGTGCCAGACCCCAGTGGTAAGTGCCTTTCCCATTGAAACATCTCACTACCCCAACTTTGTGTTTTGTTTTCTCTCCTTTCCCTTCCCCTCCTCTCCCTTTCTCTTCTTATCTGTGGGTGCAGGATAGAGGCCAGAAAAGGGTTTCCAGTCTTCAGGAGTTGCAGTTAGCAGTTGAGAACGCTCAGCTGGGTTCAGAAACTCAATTTGAGTCTTCTGGAAGAGCATGGAGTGCTCTAAGCCTTCTGCCCCCCTTTTATGATCACTAATAAACTTTTTATTTATGGCCATTAGTACTTCATTACTATTTTCCTGTTCATCTCACTCACTGTCTTATTCACTCACTGTTACATTGTTGTAAAGAGGCAACATGACCAGGGCAACTCTTAATAAAGCAAAGCGTTTAATTGGGAGCTCACTTACAGTTTTAGAGCCCATTATCATTGTGGTGGGGGAGCATGGTGGTAGCAAGCTGGTGAAGTAGATGAGAGCTTCATCCTGTTTCTGATGCTTAGGAGAGACTCTGGGCTTAGTTTTAGCATGGGCTTTGGAAACCAGAGCCCACCGCAGTGATACACTTTCTCCAACAAGGCCATACTTTCTAATCCTCTTAAGCCTTCAAATAGTGCTGCTCCCTGCTGACTAAGCATTCAAATACATGAGCCCTTGAGGACCATTCTCCTTCAAGCACCACACTGGGATACTGATCTTCAGTAAATTTTTTGAAAGCTATGCGGATGCTCACCTGTAATCCCAGCCCTCAGAAGGCTGGGGCAGGAGGATCTGGAGTCATCCCAAGTGCTGCTCACATGTAAACAAAATAAAAGTCTCAACTTTACTGTGTTCCCAGTTTCACTCCTGATCTTGCTTCTGGCACTTTCTGGCTGGTACAGATAATTTTTCTCCAATCCCACTTTCATGGTTTCCTTTTGTTTTTGTGTTCATGTTTATCTTGATGGTTTCTGGTGTTAATATAACTTAAAAAAAGGTTTCTCTCACCCCAAAATTGTGTGTATATATTATTTCAACTTCATAGTATAAAATGTCTTATCTATATGAAATGTATTTTAGAATTGTAAATTTGAAATGCTTAATTTAACAGCTAAGAACTAAAACTATATTTTGCAATATTCTTGACAGTTCTTGATTTTTTTTTATTGTGTTTTTATTGTGTTCCTTCGATCTACCAATCAGCTTTTCATTTCTTATTGTAGTTATGGTAGTTTTATGGTGTGCATCCATACCAAGTAAGTCATTGATTCTTTTCAGAATTAACTCATGGGCCAGTGAGATGGTTCAGCCATTAAAGGTGCTTGCTGTATAAGCCCAACATACCCAGAGTTCAATCTTCTGAACTTATGTAAAGGCAGAAAGAGAATGACGCCAGAGTGACTCTCCCACCTTCTCATGTGTGCCATGCCACATGTACACACCCACACACACACACACTCTCTCTCTAATAATGGACAACGGTTTTTACATCTATTGTCTTTTTAAACCAAATGTTGTGGCCAATACCCAGTGCTGAATCATAATAAGTATTCATTTTGTATTAACCAATCTAACTTTTCCCTTCTTCCAGATTTCAACGACAGCTGTCGGAACCCTGCCACCCCTTCCCTCCTCAGTCAGGAGTCCCTGGAGATAATCGCCCCAGCTACCACCGTCAGATGTCAGAGCCTATTGTCCCCGCAGCTCCCACACCCCTTCAGGGATTCAAGCAGGAATACCACGACCCACTCTATGAACATGGGGTCCCAGGGATGCCTGGTCCCCCAGCACATGGGTTCCAGTCACCAATGGGAATTAAGCAGGAGCCCCGAGACTACTGCGCCGATTCAGGTTAGCATAACTCATTATATTGGCTTCTGTGTTCTCACATTGAACTTTCGATCAGTATTAAGTCCGATGTCTGCAGTGCTTTGTGGGTAAGAATTGGGTAAGATTTGTGGTTGGGGGTGTAGCTCAATATATAGAATACAATATCCTGCATTCTGTGCCCAGTAGCACAAGAAAACAAACAACAACAACAAACTGCCCTGAAAGACTTTAATGGATTAGTTAATGGTATTCAGAAGTGTATAAAATACACCTCTGAATCAAGCCTGACGATTGTTGGGACACACTTGTGTAGGGCACCACCCAAGTATGCACTGGATACAAAGAACACAATTTGTGCTGTTTTAGTTTTATGCCTTTGTTTTCAGTGCAGCAGACCCAATTAATAATAAGGGGAAGAGTGCACTTTTGGACACAGTTCTGTGACTGAAAATAAATGTTCTGAGAAGCACCTGATAGCCCACAGATGAAGAGAGATGAAGGAACAGATTTTCCTCTTCACTGTTTACAGTAGGCTGGTGCCTGTGTCCTGCAGATGCTGCTAGCCCACACAGGTAGAGGTCCCTGCTGTTTGCTCGGGGCTTCAGCCTATGAAGGCATTGTTTTCGGCATTTGAAGAGGCTGTGTCTGACCTCTTTCTCTGTGTCTTGTGGGCCACACCCAGGGAGGAAAGCACACACCACAACCGAAACCTTGGGGGCTGGAGGTGTAAGGACATGTTGGTCCTGTTCTCTGAAATGTTCTCCCTAGTCTTTCCTTACGGTTAGGACAAAAATGACCAAAGAGTGGTTGATAGGTAGGTGTTCTGCCTCTCGCTGTGGACTTTCCTTAAGCCCCTTGGGAAGGTTGGAGCAGTCTGAAGCTGAACAGCTCTTAGGGGTGGAGGGATGAAGTATAGATCTGCTCTTGGTCTCTGAGATAACACATGCATTGTGCTGTTTGGATAGAAACCGGTTTGGGGGAATCTGAGGAGGCAGGCAAAGGGAGGGACTACCATGTTATAGAAGAATAGCTGCTGCTGATCATACAGATTTCCACTGAATTCTTTTTTGAAATACTCTCCTCAGGAGAAGTCATGGTGGTAGCAGTAATAAGCATATACGCATATAGATGTAATTTATTGTTTTATTGTTTATATTTGATTGTTTTTATTTTATTAAATGATAAATATTGTGTTATTTATATCATGATGTAATGAATTATGTACCAATATATGTGAGTGCCTCGAAATACCCAAAGAGTCAGATCTCCTTGGAGCTGGGTTACAGGTAGTTGTGAGCCTAATGTGGGTGCTGGGACTTGAAACTTGGGTCCTCTGGAGAGCAGTATGTGCTCTTAACTATTGAGCCATCTTTCCAGAGGCTTTCCTTCCCCAGCATTGTCCCAGTGTGCACCCAGTTACCCAGTTCACCCTCTTCTCATGGGACCTGAAGAAGAGATTGCTGAAGTGTGGTTTAGTTTCAGCATAACAGATCCAACATGGAGAAAACAGATTTGTCAAACTACAGTACCTACCCTGCCAATTCTCATCCTGGCTTCAAAGCTTAAGTTCCACTAATCCCTTTGGCCTTAAATACCCTCACCCCTGGCAATAGAATTGGATGTGACCATCGGTGGCCAAAGGAGCAGGTTGGGAAAGATCTAAAGTGATGGTCTCCCCCCATCCCATCCTAAAGCCCTTTTGAAAGCCAGTTTCTCATGTTACATTGGCTTTCTCACCAGATGCATTGTTAACTGGTTTCTAAAACGAGTGAGGTGAAGACAAGGCATCCTTCTTTCTCCTGTGATTCTGGATAACACCGGTCTCACTTGCAGGTGGTGGGTTCTAGTGTTTGCCATATTTGTTAGCACTGTGCATTTGCACAGAACAAGGCCCCAGAGACTTACCCTTTGTCATAGGTTGATGCTTAGCTGCTGTAATAAAACACTCATCAAAACAGCTTGGTGGTGCAGGGGGTGGGGTTGAAGACAGGGCATCTGGCTTAGGAATTACAGTGCATCCACATTGAGGGATGCCAAGACTGCTGCAGAGACCACAGAGGAGCCTGCTTACTAGTTGGATTTTTTTTTCCTCCTCCCCATGTCTTGCTCAGCTTGCTTTCTGTCACACTTCCACATATATCTGCCCCAGAAATGCACTTCCCATAGTGGGTCAGACCCTGCCATAGCAATCATTAATCAATAAAATGCCCCAGGGGCCAGTCCCATAGAGGCAGCTGCTCAGTGGAGGGTCCCTCTTCCCAAGTAACTCTGATTGGTGTCAGGGTGACAAGCACCAAGGCAGGCGGCAGGACCTGGAATGTGGGGTTGAGGGGCTTTGCTGCCCAGCAAGCACACCCTCGGCTGTGCTTCAGGGACAGTTAAGAATGCATGCATTTGTACTTCCCTTTCAGAAGTGCCTAACTGCCAGTCATCCTACATGAGAGGAGGGTATTTCTCCAGCAACCACGAAGGTAAGGAGCTTGCTTTTGCCCATTAAATTAATTGGTTTGGGGGCGGGGCCTATATGGGTCACAGCACAAGTGGAAGTTGGAGGATTTCCTCTTCCTTTTTTTTTTTTTTTTTTTTTTGTGTGTGTGTGGGGAGGGGGGGTAATGCATATGCTTAACTTAAAATCGTTTCTGAACTGAGCTTTGAGGTCAGTAGTTAGACCCTCCGTAGTTCACGAGTATGAGAGCTAAGTGATAGTGATTGTTGGTTGCTTTGCACATAGGCTTTGCACCGCCATCTAAACACTGGGGCTGCCATCCTTCTAAATGACAGTGGGCCTGACTTTGCAGAGTTTGTAGGGCAGTTTGAATAAAGGAGGAACTTAGTTTCTACAATTCAGCTAGGTCAGCCTAAGCTGGGCCTTAGGGCTTATGTCAGGAGGTTTTACATGGGTCTAAAGACATCTTAGGAAAGAATTTTTTAGAACGGGTTTCTGCTTTTCACTTAGTTTGGGTGGGTAGCTCAATGTTGTGATGGTTATGTAATGGGTGATTGCTGGGTTTAATGTTGAGAGGCAGATCACAGGAGTTCTTCACCGGCCTTGAGAGGAAGAGAGTTGGCAGCTAGTAGAAGGAAGCGGTGGAGATAGGAAAGCTGCTAAGACTACAGAGGTCTTGAGTACAAAACAGGTGTTTTCTAATTGAGTAAACTGGGGATGTTCCTGTGCTTGAATTAATGTCTTGATGTTTATTGAATGAATGCACATAAAGGTTTAGGGAATAGAGGAAAAGGCTCAGTGTATAAAGTACCTGCTGCCCAAGAATGAGCCTCTGACTTCAGATTCCTAGTACCCATGGAAGAAGCTAGACATGGCAGTGCCTATCTCAATCCCTGCACTGGAAGGGGAAACAGAGAGATCCTGGGACTTGCAAGGTAGCCAGTCTAGCCAGGTAGTGAGAACTCTGGCTTCAGTTTCAGACCTTGTCTCAAAACTAAAGTGAACTTGTTAGATGATACCTTACATTGACCTCTGGCCTCCATGTGTGCACATACAGTTTCATACAACCATATACACAAAAGATGAGTGTTATATGCTATCTATTTTGGTTCTTGGGCACAGTTCCTTTAGAATTAACTGATTGACTAAACAGTTACAATTAGGAGCAAGAGCAGTGGACAGAATTGGGCCTGGACCTTATCTTTCATAACACTTCAGATGCTTGGCTGATGGAGTATCTGCCTACCAATCAAGAGGCTCTGTGTGAGGGTCTCAGCATAGCACATAACCAGGCATGCAGGCACATGCCTATCATCTCAGCAGCCAGGAGGTAGAGGCAGGAAGATCAGAAGCTCAAGGCTATCCTCAACTAAAACCAAATAAGGGTCAGCAAAGGTGGCTCAGACGTTAAAAGTGCTGCCACGCCTGCCAACGTGAGTTTGGTCATCAGGATCCATGTGGTAGAGGAAATGACTCCTGCAGATTGTTCTTTGACCTTCAGTGTAGCACACTGTGTACCTTCTAACATAATGAGAAGAATTTTTAAAAAGAACCATAGATGTTCTGTAGCATGTGGTCTCAAAGAAGTGGTCAGAATGGAGCTGGAATCAGAGAGTTCTGGAGAACCTCTATGCTTTTGTGCAACTTTTGTTCACAGAACAAACCTCCATAGTTTATTCTTCCTGTAAACATATACCGATTACACACCATTTAGAAAGTATTGACAGACATGAATACAGAAATCAGACTTCACTGTCCAAAGGAAGTCATAAACTTGGCTTTTCTGTGCATACATCTATACAGAATTGTACAGATCATACGAGGATTCCTTTTATTGAGTCTTTTTTAGCAAGAGTCATTAATTCATTGTGTGTTTACTCTGTTTCAAACTCTGTCTTAAGCTGTTTACTTGCATTTAAGTCATTTAATCATCTAGCACTCCTGTAAGCTACATGTTATAAGCCACTGAAGCTCCAAGAGGTCAGGATTTGCTCTAAGTAATATGACTTGGAAAGTAGATCCAAAATTCTGAGACAAGGCTATGACCTTCTTGCTAAATTTTGAATATTCACAGACACCTGACAAAATAATATAAGTGGCCATTCATTTAATTTTCCATATTTCCATGGTTACTTCTTGAAGCTAAATTCCTGGACCATCTGGGTTAAAGGGATATGACATCTTTGAGGTGTCTGGTCCCAAGTTTTGTGAAGACCAGCATTTTGTTGTGTGTTGCCAACTTTTAAGTCTTAGGGCTTGTTTGAAGGAGTAATTGGGTGGGAATGGGGTACACAGTGTGGGAAAAGGTTAACTGAGCTGTCAGAGCTTCGGGGGTCATTTGTAGAATGCATAGCTCCTGCATGAATGGATGACAGTGGTATATCAATTCACAGGATGAGAAGGAGCCCTGTGGGGTCTGAGAGGAAATGTGTGAGCCAGAAGGCCTTGAGGGGGATGCACTGGGTAGAATTTACTCTTCTAGGGAGCATGGTATAGGGTCACCCCTCCTTTCCAAACACTGAAGTAGGGATGTACTTTTCCATAGAGTAGGTCCCCAGAAGTATGTTTCTCTGTCAAACACATCTAGCCACATAAATATATTATAGCTCTCTGACTCCTCCAAAACCAATGTCACCAGCTTCTTTTGGAACTCAGATGGACAAATTCTCAAAAGCTACTATCTTTGTTAGGGTTTCTGTTGCTACAACAAAACACATGACCAAAAAGCAAGCTTGGGAGGAAAGGGTTTATTTGGCTTACACTTCTACATTGCTGTTCATCACTGAGGGAAGTCAGGGCAGGAACCTGAAGGCAGGAGGTGGTGCAGAGGCCATGGAGGATGCTGCTTACTGGTTTGTTCCCATGGCTTGCTCTGCCTGCTTTTTTTCTTCTTCTGGTTTTTTTCTTTTCTTTTTCTTTTTTCTTTCTTTCTTTTTTTTTGTTTTTGTTTTTGTTTTGTTTTGTTTTGAGACAAGGCTTCTCTGTGTAGCTGTGGAGCCTGTCCTGGAACTTGCTCTATATACCAGGCTAGCCTCAAACTCAGAGATTCTACCTGTCTCTGCCTCCCGAGTGCTGGGACTAAAGGCTCAGCCTGCTTTCTTCTAGAACCCAGGACCAGCCCAAGAATGGTAGCACCCACAGTGGGCTGGGCCTTCCCCATTGATCACTAATTGAGAAATGGGTTACAGCTGGATCTCATAGGGACATTTCTTCAACAGCTAGCTTGTGTCAAGTTGACAAACAAAGCCAGCCAGGACAGCTCCTGAATCAAAAGCTCCAACATGGAGACCAAAAAAATCTGTTTTCAGGTTTGAAAACCACATTCAACTTCAGCTGTTCCTTAGGCTCACCTAAGGGTGCTTTAAGTGGTGAGACCCCCAAATTCCAGAGTGAGACCTCATAAACCCGAGGCTGTGAACAGCATTTTAGATACTCAGCATTTTAGATACTCAGGAAGCACTGGTTGTTTCTTGCACAAGACTATAGTTGAGGCCAGGCAATGGTGGTGCCCGCCTTTAACCCCAGCTCTTGGGGCAGAGACAGGTGGATCTCTGTGAGTTCAAGGACAGCCTGGGCAACACAGAATAACCCTGTCTAGAAAAACCACAAACAAACAAAAGCAAGTGACAAGTTGACTAGAGTGGTTTCTCGGGTAAACAACTTTCCCCTGGCTAGGAAAGACCGTTGCCACTTCCTGTGTGCCCGTGATATTCTCAGTGAGTGTCCAGACCTGAGCAGGCAGGCTGTCTACTAGACCGCTGGCTGTTTAGACACAGCTGTGCAGGGCTGCTTCCAGATTCCTCACTGTTTCTGTAGAGGCAATTGATGTCTGCAGCAAGCACATATGTGGGGGGGGGGGCAGGAAAGAGAGGGAGGCAAACATTTTGTATAATTACAACACTTAGCAAAGAGCATGCTCTTAAGGGAAATATTTTTAGTAAGATTTTGGGTTGCTTACTACACAGAACCTTCTCGTGAAGCCACCTCCGCCCTCCAACCTATTCCTTTGCCCAGTTGACTGCTCACATTGAAAAAAGTAAATTTCAAAAGAGCCAGCATTTTAAACTGCTCGAAATTATCTTGGCCTGGTTTTTCTAGCCTTCCTTTACAGTATTGACCACAGATACCTAGGAAACAGTTATCAAGACAAGTGGTTCTGATTGGTATCTCTGATTGCTAAGATAGCCATCCTGCCTCAGGTACTCACCTGGAATCGTCATGTGATATTCTGAGTCTCATTTCTACTTCGCCCCTCAAACAGGTTCTTCCTTCCTGCACCTTTATTTGAGTGATTAGATGAGTTATAGCCACAACTGAAAGAAGTTCAAATGCAAACCCAACTGACTTTATTACTCAACCAGAAACATCTTCCAGGTGTTTAGAGGACCTCGTGTGGCAATAACTAGAAACCACAAAATGTTCCCAAATGATGTTTCTTATAAGGTTTTGAAAACCAAAACAAGAATTTAATCTAGTCTTGCGGGGTTGTGGATGAATTATCTTTCCCATAGAGAACAGTGCTGAAGATAACATGGCATGCTTGACAGGTGTGTAAACTTTCAGGCTGTTCACTTACAATGACTTTATAACGAGACCATTTAAGCAACGTTGGAACGCATATGGGAGGTGGGAACTATATCACCTCCTGGCAGCTAAGGGGGAAGAGCATGACGCATAAGGAATTATGTCTTGCTGATAGTGTGAAGCACACCGGTTTGTCATAAAAGTCAGCTTGCCAGGTGTTGTGCACTTGGGGGGGGGGGGTTCCAGGAGGATTGGGAGTGTAAGGTCATCCTCAGCTATATGGCGAGTTCAGGATAGACCTGTGCTACATGAGACCATGTCTTAAAGGAAGGAATGTCAATATTCTTGGTTTAAATTGTCAGGCAATCTTGTAGGCCTCAGATATTGATTGAAAACTTAGTGTGTGCAAGGTATATGGGAACACTAAGAAGAATAGGAGAGGACCCTTATCCCTGAGAATTTTTGACTCCCTGGCAGGGAATGTCAAGAATAAAGTCTCATGCTGTCATTCAGGGTTATTATTTTTGAAGCAGGGTGTCACTGTTACTCCTCTGTAGACTAGGCTGCCTAGAACTTGCCTCTGCCTTCAGAGTGCTGAGATGGAAGGCAATGAAATGGCTCTGTAGAACAGACTACACATTAACTCATTAAGTCATCATAACAGTACCACTGGAACACAGTGGAATTAATTTATTCAAAGTCACAAAACCAATTGGGGTCAGCCTGTCTCTTTCTAAGCCTGTACTCTCTCTTTAAATCCAATGCTATCCTATGTTATTTATTTCCTGTTTATTTGTTATTTGCTTCCTACCTTAAGTTACAATATAAACGCATAAGAACGCATAAGCTGTATTCTTACCACATCAGCACAGTATGTGGCCTAAATTTTTAAAGTCAATTAAAAGAAAATACCAATAAAATATACTTCTTTCTTAAATTGTGTGTATGCCTATGGGTGTTTTGCATACAATGCAAGGAAGAGCTAAAAGAGGGTAGTGGATTCCCTTGGAACTAGAATTACATGCAGTTGTGAGCCATCACGTGGGGGTGCTGGGAATCAAACCTGGGTCCTCTGGTATAGAAAGAAGCCAGTGCTCTTAATCACTGAGCCATTTCTGCAGCTCATCGTGGTGTCATTAATTTAAACAGAAACATGCCTGAGGCTGAAGACAAAAAGATGAATGACATGAACATCCAAACAATCTATTGTACATTGCACTGAGTTTTTTCTAGGCCTGGCATCTTAAGATGGTGTCAGGCCTGCCAAGACATTTCCTCACCTGAACTGATTACAAAGAAGGCAAGCGTAGCAGGAAAGGGATCACATCCCGGCTCCTTGGCCTATGGGGTTTTCATGTCATGGTGTCCCCTCAGCATAACACACAGGCTAGTAGCCTTCGTCCAGGTGATTCAACCAGGAACTAAGCCAGAGACGAGCCCAGGGCTTGAGGACTCGTATATCAAGTGCACATACAATGATAATAATAAAGTTGTTTTTAATTTATGTTAAAGAATGCCACTCTCATTCTTAATGACATAGTTTTTTTTTTTTGTACAACATGGGGTGGGGTATTAAGCAGTGTGATTGTTCTCTTTTAAACTCCTTCAGGATTCACATACGAAAAGGATCCCAGGCTATACTTTGATGACACATGTGTGGTACCTGAAAGACTGGAAGGTAAGATGCCCATCCAATATGTGATGCTGAGTGAGAGGGTCGGAAGTGTCGGTCCCAGCCTGAAGGAACCGTCAGTAACTGCAGTGCCTGAGAAACCCCAACCTCAATTATAGCATATGCACCCCTGTCCCACACAGGCAAGGTCAAGCAGGAGCCCACCCTGTATCGAGAGGGGCCCCCTTATCAGCGGCGAGGCTCTCTTCAGCTGTGGCAGTTCCTTGTCACCCTCCTCGATGACCCAGCGAATGCCCACTTCATTGCCTGGACTGGCCGAGGCATGGAATTTAAGCTGATAGAACCAGAGGAGGTAAGTCTGAATGTCTACATACTTTTCTGCTACTGCTGTGATGAAATAGCATGACCAAGAAAACTTACAAGAGTTTGTTTAGATTTACAGTCCAGAGGGTTAGGCTCTGTCACCTGCTTTGGGGGGGGGGGGGGGTTGTTAGGCTCTATCACAGCGGGAAGGCAGGGCAGCAAGTTGGGGGCTTCCAGCTCAAGTGCCAGCACAAAGCTAATTAAGAGAGCAAACACCAGGGATGGAAGGACTTCAAAACCTCAGAGCCCACCTCCAAGGACAGACTTCCTCCAGCAAGGTCATGCCTCCTAGATCTCCCCAAACAGCAGTACCAGCAGGGGACCAAGTGTAAAAATGCAGAGCCCATGGGGGCCTTTCTTACTCGAAGCACTGCAGATGATGCTGGGTGTGAATGAGTGAGGCCTTGGTGACTCAGCGCGCTCTGTCTTCTCATTTTATTTCAACCTGGTGAGCTCAGCGTTCTTCTTCCTTGCTGCAGTAGGACAGTTTTCTGTGTGTTGCCTAACGTACAGGCAGAGTTCTCCATCTATAGAAATTTAATGTATTTTAACACTCCTGGAGAAGAAAAAAAAAAAAAAAAGCGAGGGTGAAGCCATGGAGAGTTACGCTAATACAGGCTGTGTTCTTCCTCTTCATGATTTGGAAGTGCTGTTTGTGTAACACAGACTAAACTAGTCTGTTACAGCCTGCAGCTGAAGCCCTGCATGTACTGGGTAATGCATTTACCCTGCTACGTATTCCTTTTCAACATTCATTTCTTTAATGCACTAAATTTGTGGCATATGTGTGAAAGTCAGAAGACCACTTGTGGGGATCAGTTCACTCCTATATATGGGTCTTGGATCAAACTCAAGTTGCCAGGATTGGTAGTGGCAGCAAGCACCTTAACCTGATGAGCCCTTTCACTATCCCCAACACATACTTCACATGGCTCTAAATTGGAGAAATAAAGTTAGCAAAGCTAAGTCTTAGAAGCCTAAAAAAATTTTTTAAGTATTTATAAAAATGTGTGTGTTCGCGCGTTCGTGCATATGTAGCTGTATCATGTGTGTGCAGTGGCCATGTGATCCAGGAGTGGGCACTGGATCACCTGGAACTGGAGTTAGAGGTAGTTGTTAGCTACTTTGTAGGTGCTGGGAATCAAACCTGGGTCCTGTGCAAAAGCAGAGAGTGCTCATAACTGCTGAGCCAACTCTGCAGCCCCAGAATATGAATGCTTTGTTTTCTTTTTAAGTATGGTATGTAGGATCCTTGTTGTCATAGTTAGGGTTATTATAGCTGTGTTGCTGTCATAAACCACCATGGCCAAAGCAACTTGGGGAGGAAATGGTTTGGTTTTGTGGTTTGGCTTGGTCCTGTTGTTTGTTTGTTTGTTTGTTTGTTTGTCTTATACTTTTCACATCATTGTTCATCATCCAAGGAAGTCAAGGCAAGAACCTGGAGGCAGGAGCTGACCCGGGGAACCAGGAAGGAGTGCTGCTTACTGGCTTGCTCAACCTGGGAGGGAGGGAGGGAGAGAGGGAGGGAGAGAGGAAGGAAGGAAGGAAAGCAAGCACTCTATAGCAGTGTTTCTCAATCTTCCCTAATGCCACAACCCCTTAATACAGTTCCTTGTGTTGTGGTGACCTCAACCATAAAATTCTTGTCATTGCTACTTCATAACTGTAATTTTGCTACTGTTATGAATTGCAGTGTAAATGTCTGGTATGCAGATTGTCTAAGAGCTGTGAGAGGGTTGTGGGGTCATGACCTACAGGTTGAGAACTGCTGCTCTACGGGTTTGCCTGTCAGACCTATTCTACAGAGGCATTTTTTTTTCTTCATGAAGGATCCCTCAGAAAAGGAAACATCTACTTGCCCCGCAGGATTAGCAGAAAGACCTAAGGTAGAACCTACCACATTTCTTCAGTGAGGAAAATGCCCCCATAGGACCCCTTCCTGAACATAGAGGATTAACCCAGGTTATTAGTGTATCTCATGCCAAAGGGCATAATTTTCATTTCTATTTGGTTTAGGGTTTAAAAAATTGTAGATGGAAAAGACACACATTCTTTAATAGTGTGTGGTTAGGCAAACGCTGTCCCTGAGTTGGTGCAATAGAAATTGGAACAGCCCTCTTGGGAAGCATTCCATTAAGGACTGCAGAATGAGCAGCAGAAGGTAACAACGTGACACTATGTTTGGAAGAAGGACAGGGTCTGAAAGTTGAGATAGGAAAAGGAGGAGGAAATAAGTGGAATAGAAACTGGAGTCTCCTGCAGGCTTCATTTAAAGTGGTATAAAACCTACATTTCTGAGGCTAGGGAGAAGGTTCAGTCAGCAAAGCGCCTGCCACACAAGAATGCCCAGCACCCATGGGAAAGCCAGGCACAGTACCACGCCTCTGTAATACCGAGTAAAGACAGGAGGATCCCTGGAGCTCATTGGCTGTCTGGCCTGATCAAATGGATGAGTTCCAGGTTTAGAGCGAGGGAGGCACAGAACTGGGGTCTCTGGCCTCCATGTGAACACAACACCACACGCACACTCCTGTGCACACACAAATGTGGCCTTGGCATTCCCGGTCTCCTATGTAGTCACGGAAATGCTGTAGCCTCTGATTGGCTCAGTTGTGTAGAGATGGAGGGTCACTGCCCCATGCAGGCCATTCCTCCCTTGCTGCTTCCCTAGTGATGCAGCCTGACCTGTGTAAGGCTTGGTGATGGCATGGTGCCTTGACTCACCGAGGCTTTTGGAAATGAAAGTAAGCCTGTCTTGTGGGCAGCCCTTATTGATTTATCTCATTCCACAGACAGGAGCTTTTATGACCTTTATTGCCACTGCCTCGGGCCTGAGCACAGGCTGTCCAGCTGCAGGTAAACCTGGTTATGAATCTCAGTAAGACTGTTATTGAATCTTCTGCTTTCCTACCAGCCGTAAGGAAAATGATGAACAGATGGCAAAGGGCCCCTGCTTTCTTACTTAATGGAGGAACTAATATTAACCCAGAATGCTCATAAATGCCACGGGGCTCCCAGTCACATGTGTAAACCAAACCTATGGTGACCCTGAGCCTCTCTGTTGAATGAGCAGCATTCTTTAGAATTATTGTTGTTGTTGTGTTATTGTGGGGGTGGGCTGCCTGTGCCACGTCAGAAGGCAGCCCACAGGAATGAAGTCTCTCTGCCACATGGTTCCCAGACAGCCACCCTAGGAAGCAGATGCCTCCCCAGTGAGCCATCCCACCACCCCTGCATTGTTTCTCTAGGAACTGCTTTTTAATACTTGCCTTGAGGTCCCTCACATTTTCTGACTCCATAATGCAGGGCCCTTTGAAATCTTGGGAACACTGACACTTGGCCTGCACAGTGCTTGACTTTCCCTCTTCTGTCCTTTGTGTGATTGTGACAGCCCTGTCCTTGTTGATGTCAGGAAGATACCACTGGCTCCTGGGGAAAGCTGTAAGGACTTGTCATGGGGGAGCTTAAAGGGTGAAGCCGAGGAGGAAGCTGTTGGGGATGTAATTGTAGGCAGCTGTGTGGCTGAGTAGTGCACTCTGGGTAATTATCCATAATATCCATTACACTGTGCATGGAAATTGTGGTTTTAGAACTGCGTTTTGGCAGGCCCCCTAATCAAATGTCTTTTGATAGGCGTCCAGCTTAGCAACCTCTCCATTATGACTGACTCGGCTTTAATCTGGAGCCATTTTAACTGTGAATCTGCATTAATATGAATATTTGTGTGTGCGGGGGGGGGGGGGTTGGGTTGTTTGTTGAACATGTGGCAGATTTGTGATGCCATGAGAGGTTTTAAAGGCTGGGCTGCTAAAAAAGAGCCACTCCTGGTTCTGTGACCGCTTACTTTTTTAAGAGGAATAGGTGAGTCCCCCCCTTTAGTCTCAGCTCCCAAAATGTGTATACTTAATAATTGGGGCGCAGAACGAAGGAGTGAGCTGGCAATGTGCTCTGGCCTGCTCCCCTTAACACAAATAGGGACTGCCCAGGTCTTCAGCTGCATCACGCATCACCGTAGAAGGGAGCAGTGTGGCGAGGCCCCTGAGTCATAGGGCACCAGCCTGGAGGATGAGTCAATAACTATAGCTACTGGAGCAGCTTTGAAATGTGCACATACACAAAACCTCTGTCCAGTAAGAAAGCTGCTGCATGTGCTGACAGCAGTGCCAGGTCACTACTCAAGCTAGACTAGGCAGAATTGTTTTCCACCGCCCAGTGAGGAAGCTTGACATTCCCTGTCGTTTGTGACAGACAGGTTGGCAGTTAGCTTCAAAGTGTGGGCTGCTTTTGAACCTTGCAGGACTGAGATTAACTTAGCAAATTTCTCTTTTACCAATATTTCCATTGATTCACAATACATACCTTCGCTGGACTGGCTGGCACACAACTTCAAACCCAGTACTTCAGAGGCCGAGACAAGCGGATGGATCCCTGTGAATTGAGAGCAGCCTGGGCTGCACTGTGAATTCCAAGCTAGCCACCGCTACATAATAATAAGACCCTGTCTCAAAAATGACTTCTAACCAAGATTCCGTTTTCTGCTAAGTTTTGCCTTTGGGGATTTTTTTTTTTTTTTTAAATGATGATAGACTTGAATTGATAAAAAAATGAAACAAAGGGAGAACCAAGATTTGTGGTTGCCTGAGAGACACTAAACAACAAACGGAAATTGAACTTGCATGGGATTTCTTGCAGGGCAAAGTCCAAACATGGCTGGTGGATTGTTCTGATATAATTAGGACAGATGAGTTTTTCCTTCCCAGATTGTCTCTGGTATTTGTTAGTGGCCATTTTAGAACCCTGAATTCAGGAGGCGCTTCTGTCACACACCCACCATCCCAATAGTTGATGTAAACTGCTGTTTGTCCTCTTCTTCGCTCATGTTTAACCTTTGGCTTGTTTGGCCATAGTTCGTCTTTATGTCTGTCTCCAGACATAAAGAGCAAGTTGGGGTTGTGCATGCCTGTGACCCAAGCAACTGGGAAGCAGAGGTAGGAAGATTTGAGAGTTTGAGTCCAGTCTGGGCTATATAGAGAGATTCTGTCTCCAAATAATGTAGAAAAACATCAAAAGGATGTTGTCAGGTGATCTTTTTTGAAGTTTCTAAAGGTGACTAAAATGAAGGTGTCAGACAGCTCATGTTTCCACAGTTGATCTGCCTTGACAGCCGCCCTCCCAAGTGGGGTTGTGAAAGTTGAGAGAAAGAGCTTGCTGCCCTGATAATTGAGTAGACTCCAGTAGGAAATTCCCCTGCTATAACGCCTTTACCCAGAGCTCCAATTACATCTTCCTAGCCCTGCACCTCAAGTGGACTGGGTTGCTATAATGCACTTTAGAACTGTGTGAGAAGCCCTGTTAATTTTTCATTAAATGGATAATGGTACTGTGTACTTTACTGTCCATTCTGCAGGTCTGCTGGGAGTGGAGGGCTGGATGGCAGTAGGCTGATAGGATCTGAACCCCTTTAGTCCATGAGCTGCAATAAGAAAACATCTCCCAGCCCCTCTCCAATCTTATTAGAATTGAACTTCTGCTCTGCAGGCCCATTAGCAACTCACTAACATGTTCCTAATGTTTCAGGAATGACCATTCTAATTATTCCTTATTGACTGCTACAGAAACCATAGCACTTAAAGGCAATATGTTAATGGTCCGTGAGTATTGGTCAATAATTCATAAATGGAGAAATAGTAGAGAGCCTGTGTCCTCTGGGATGCTAACCAAGTCCTCTATACCTTACAGTGTTAGGAGTCTTCTATCCTCAGGTCTCACCTACTAAGCACATGGGCAAGTCATCACCTTTACTTAATATTTGATTTTGAGAGAATTGAACGCTTTACTTTCCAAGTTAGAGAAGCCGGCATCATTCAGATCCGGTGAGTTACAGAACTGTCAGTCCTGGGAATGTGTTTGCATCTTTGCTGTCTTGTTGTTTCAGGTGGCTCGGCGTTGGGGTATCCAGAAGAATCGGCCAGCCATGAACTATGACAAGCTGAGTCGCTCCCTGCGCTATTACTATGAAAAGGGCATCATGCAGAAGGTGAGAAACTACAGACATTTAAACCCCTCTGCTTCCTGCAAGGAACTGTCCCTAACCTCTGTAATAAGGCCACTTATAGTAACTGGAAGAATATTTGAGCCCTGTAAGTGAGTCTGTGGGAGAAAAGAACCAGGAACACACAAGAAGACAGGAATTACTAGAGTGGTACCTATAATGTCGGCACTTGGGAGGTAGAGGCAGGAGGATCAGAAATTCAAGGCCAGTTTCACCTACATCAAATTTCCCAGGCTGTATTAAGATACTGTCTGCAAAAAGTTAAAATAAAAAAAGATACAAATAGGTTATTTAAAGCACTTTGGGACTAGAGAGATAGTTCAGTGATTGAGACACTTGATGCCGACCAGGTCCCAGCCCCCACATCAGACAGCTCCCCAATTTCTTGGGCCCACATGTGTACACATTTAAAAATGAATAGCACTTTTAAGTCCTTTTAATGACGTGAAAGACACGAGGAAATTGGCTTCCTCTAATTTCCTTTTTAAGCTGCCTCCAGTTACAGAAGACTCAAAACTTAGGCCAGCTACTGTTGTAAAGGAAGACATGAAGGAAACAACTTAAGATCTCTGCACCATAGAGCTTGAAATCTAGGTAGTTTAAACATTGGGGGCACAGCAATCTACACTGTCATTAGAGAGAGAAACCTTCGCAAGGAATTAGAAGAATAAGAAAATCTGTTTCTCGTTTAAACCTACACAGCCTAGAACTTAAGAGACCCAAAATGTGTCAAATGGCAGCCGCAATCACTCATTAAGAGTTTTTTCTTTGCAGAATAGAAGATAAAACATATTCTGAAAAGGCAGTGTAGAGTCTTTATTGGGATAGGAGCTAAGAGACTGCAACCTTGAAATCCCATTGGGAAGTGGAAGTTAGGACCAACCCTATCTTTCTTAAGTACCATGTATGTGCTGTGCATCTCCCCAGACTCTAGCATTTACACACTGGGGACACAGTTGTGTAACCTTCCCCACATTGCTTAGAGCAAGAAGCATTAATATTTTGATTGGAGTATTTGCATAGACTTGGCCTCTGTTCTTAATATCAGATGAAATCTCAAATATAGGGAAAAGCCTTTTACTAGTAACTTTTCTGTTGCTCTGATTAAAATGCCATGACCCAGCAGAGCAGTGGTGACACAAATCCAACACTCCGGAGGTGGAGACAGGCGGGTGTCTGAGTTCACGGCCAGCCAGTTCCAGGCAACAAGGTTATACACAGAAACCCTGTCGGGGGGGGGGGGGGGCTACTACCAAAGGAAAGGTTTATTTGAGCTTATGGTTCCAGAGGGTTTAAGAGTCCATGATGGCAGGAAGTGGTAGATGTTGCAACAGGAATGGAAACTGAGAGCTCACATATTTACCACAAGCAGGAAGCTGAAACAGCAAGCTGGAAATGGCACAAGGCTTTGAAACTTCAAAGCCCTTTCCCAGTTATCCTTCCCCCACAAGACCACACCTCCTAAGCCTCCCAAAACAATGCCACTAACTAGGAACCAAGTGTTCAAATGCCTGAGATTATGGGTGTATTTCTCATCCAAGTGTCATAATCCCTGCCTTATTCCCAAGGCTCCATAATCCAATATGAAAGAGTGTAATTCTAGGTACAGTAGCTTAGAACTCAGGAGAACGAGTTGTACCTCCTACTGACTTGATTTCTGAGCATGGGAAACACCAGAAGTGTGGCTTTGGTAGGTTCAGATTATTTGTCCTGTTTGGCCTTGTAACTTCTCATATCCCATACAGTGAAAATGCAGTGCTCTGCTATATAATTTTAAACTAATGTGCCTGAAAGTATCTAAGTAATAATAATATGCTACCCATTGCTTTATTATAACCATGGCTGAATAAGATGCTTTAAAAGGTGAAATAACCAGACAGTGTCAGAGATAGCCCGTGTCCTCAGTTCCTGTGTGGAAGAGTTAAGAGTTAGTGATGGCACCAGTGCTGGGGGCCACACTGCTCTTGGATTGTCGTTGCCATGCCACCCACACAAGGAATGCATAGAAATATACACGGTGCTTTGAAAGAACATGGCCTGCAAAGAGAGTGGACCTAATCAACATCAGCATTGGTAGCACAGGCTTATGGTTCCAGTGCTTAAATGGCTAAGGCAGGAGGATTTTAAATTCAAGGCTAACCTGAGCTACATGGTGTGTCCCAGTTTGGCTTTGGCTACTTAGTGAAGACTCCATCTTAAAAAGTAAATTAATAAATGGATGGATAAACAAATGAATAGTCGGGGTGGTGGGTTATATACATCTGCTGCCGCTGGGGCTTGCTTTGGTACTTGTTTGTGTTCTCTGTGCTGATAAGCATGGTTCCCTGACTTCTAGTGCCAAGAAATGTTGGCACAGGTGTGTGTTCTGGTGATTGGGAGAAGTGTCACGGTTGCAACAGAGTTTAGCACAAGGATGGGGAGCAGGGCCTGGACCAATGTCACACCGAGATGTGAGATCTCAGCAGAATGACAGTTCTGGGCTAACCCAGCCACTGGGGGGGGGGTGCTTTAGTCTTAACATGCTTATGTAATCAGGAACTTTAGCTACCTTCCTTACAATGCCTGACAGTTAGATTTGCCTGTCAGGAGTCTGTCCCTTCGCTCACTGTTAGAGAAGCAACAGAACCTGGGTCATCACTGAGTTAGCTGGCTTGTCAGCTGTGTGACAGCAAGGTCCCTGAATAATCAAGACCTTTGGATTGTACTATCAAGTGCAAATGTATGTGGATGCCAATGCAGGAGAGTTTTTAATTCAAGGCCAACCTGAGCTGCATATAGTGAGTTCCAATTCCGTAGACCCATGAATGCACAAGTGGAAGTACCCAGTATATCAGACGAAGGGGTTTTGGTTTGGAACATATTTAAGTTCCACAGAGGCTGTCTTAATCGAATCCTTTACACAGGCTTGGGAGATTGCTCAGTGGTTAAAGTTTTCTTTTTGAAGAGGACTGGAGTTCAGATCCCCAGATAAATAGTACATGGGTATAGGACTCATGTATAATTCCAGACTCAGAATTCAGCTGAGCCGATCTCTAAAGCAGTTTCAGCAAACTCGGGTTTAATTGAAGACTCCCTACCTCAGAGAATAAGGTGGCAGAGTGATGAGGAAAACTGCAGATCTCAACCATGGGCCTCTGCACATACATGCCCACACACCGTGCACGCACAAACACAAAGAAAGCGGGCAAGAAGCTCTATACCCTTCAAAATAGCACATCCATCCTGGGAAAAACTGTAAACTTAGGAAGTCATTGGAAATGTGGTCTGGCATCTGCATTGTGTGCGTAAGCCCCTGTACTAGCCCTACAGCTCAGGCAGCCTGAGCTGCCAGTATAAGACAGTGTGAGGCTTGCTGCTGAAGGAGCCCAACTGGTGTGTATTTGAATTCAAATACTGTCTTTTAAAATACTGAGCTATTTCAACACAACTCTTGCCAGGTAATAGGTCCCTAAGATGTGATTAGAATAATCAGCTACTAATTAGCCCTTTGGTTCTTGACTCCCTGAGAGATTGGTGTCTTTAAAAATTTTTTACTCAAGGCCCGTACATTGTTCTACCTGAGCCTTGTTTGATGTGTTCTCATGCAGGTGGCTGGGGAACGGTACGTCTACAAATTTGTCTGTGACCCCGATGCGCTTTTCTCCATGGCCTTCCCAGACAATCAGCGCCCATTCCTGAAGGCAGAGTCTGAATGCACCCTCAACGAGGAGGACACCCTACCACTGACTCACTTTGAAGATAACCCTGCTTACCTCCTGGATATGGATCACTGCAGCAGCCTCCCCTATGCTGAAGGCTTCGCTTACTAAGTTTCTGAATGGCTGAGTGGCCACACCCTAGAGCTAGCAGTCCCCATTCAGGCAAATGAGGGCAGTGGTTTTGTTTGTGTTCTTGGCTGTTCCTAAAGCTTGCCCTCGAGTATTATCTGGAGAACCCAAGCCATCTCTGGATTGACACCCTTAAAGACAAATACCTTGGCTAGAGAGTGGGAACAGGGAGAGAGAGAGACAGGAAAACCACAAAGCAGCTGGTGATTCTGATGAGATTCCTTGGAAGAGTTGAAAGTGGAGCCTCCTTGCCAGCATGGACAGTATGTGCAGAGCAGTACCTTGTTCAGGTTAGCACCCATGCAAGGGGACGGAGTGTATGACAATCTGCATTGATCATGGACTACTAAATGCCTTTAGAAGGGCTTTGACTTGCACAATTCTTTCGAAAGAAATCCCACACCCATAGAAAAGTCGAAAGGCTAGGTTGGGGAGGCTCAGATCACTAAGGCTTGGAATTTGCAAAACTCATGTAGCTCAGTTTGATATGTTTCCCCTAAATCCAGAACTGGGGAGACCAGGACAGCTTTTACCCACTCCGAGGTTCTCTGACCACTGCTTCTCTTGAGCCTTCCGGCCAGAGTGGTCACCAAGTAGATCAAGCCCCTCCCCTCCCAGTCACATGGCTGAGTGCGGATAGCTTTCATTTTAGAAGAAAGGCAATTAATACTTGACAGTATTTTGTTTTGCTTTGATTGGGGGGGGGGAGATCATTTTGTTTTGGTGGTTGTTTTGGAAAACAGTTTATATAAACTGATTTTTGTAGTTTTGGTATTTAAAGAAAAAAAAAACAAAAACAAACTTTTTGGTAACTGCACTATGTCCCTTCGGCAGGGCCATGCCCACTTACGAAGACGTTGCAGCTTGTAGGGGCTTTGCTAGGGCTTCCTGAACTTCACCATGTAGAAGCCTGCTTGGTGCTTTGCGCACCAGACAACCTGTTGAAATACTTACATCTGATTTGTACATTTTTGAAGTGTGCAGGGCAGCCTGGACACAGCGTAGATTCCATGTGTATAGTTCTCCTTGCTCACTAACGCCCTTTCTGGGAAGCAGATGTACATACTACACTTCATTTCCATTTAACAGCTGGTTGCCTGGTGGGAACCCTATAGGCATCAGTCTCTGTTTCCCCTTTTTCCATTTTGGACCTTCAACCCTGCATAATGGTTCCCTGGGGTCTGAAACTTACCTGTCACTGGTGGGTAAAAATAGTACTAGCTGGCATTGTGGCTTCCTGCTACCCTATTTTTGTTTTAATTTCTGATTGCTGTATTATATTGGGAATGTTTTAAAACAACCAAACTAAAGCTGTGTGAAACTTGGGTTTGGAGTGGAGAAGTCACCAAGGAGTGCCGGTACCTTGTTGTCTGCTGCCCCGGGACAGGAGTGTGCTGTCCTTGACACTCCACACCCATTACGAGTGTTCCTCCATGCAGGACACAGAGCTGACAAAGTGTGGGACCTGCTTTCCTATCCTACAGTGAGGCACTCCGTCGCGCTCTCATGACCCACAGCACCTTTGTGAAGAGGTTCACCGGGATAACGGGTGCATTTTATACCTATGGGAAACTAAGGTTTTCCTCCTGAAAGCTAGTCAGCCCATAGAGGTGTCAAGCCTGAAGCTTGGGCCTTAATTAGCATTGTACTCTACTGAAAGAGCTCTTTCTGAGGCATATTTATAGCTTTCTAATCTACACATAGTCTATACATAGATGCGAATTTTACCCAGCTGGCTAGAGATTTATTTGTTGTAAATGCTGTATAGATTGGTTTTCTTTGTTTGTTTGTTTTCCCTTCCTCTCTTATACTGGTTTGGGGTTTTTTTTTTTTTGTTGTTGTTGTTGTTGTTGTTTTGTTTTTTTAATGAACTTAAGCTGTTTTATTGGGTATGAAAAGAATCTAATGTAGCCTGAGCTGCCCCTCCCCTGCTGTGACTGCACAACCTGTGCTGTCAAGGGACACAGGACAGCAGCGTCACTTTGCATTCCCATTGGACTCATGTACCTCCCATGTAGCTGTTTCCTTCAGGGTGTGGGGCTTGTTTCATTCATTTGCTTCTTTCCCAGAGTTTGGAAGGTCTACAGTGCAGAAACCCTTTCCCCTGCGCAGGGCTGTGTACATCCTGCCAAGCTGCGTTATATTCTGTACTGTGTACAATAAAGAAGTTTGCTTTCCTTTACATGTTCTTAAAACCTGCCTGTTTCTTGCCCTTGGTGTTTTCAATTTCAAGTACCCCTACTCGACTTCAACATTTGTCCTTATCTAACGGATGATGGAGTTGAAAGAAGTGAAGGGTTAAAAATCTGATCTTTGAGGCCAGCCTGGTCTACAAAGAGAATTCCCGGACAGCCAGAGCTACACAGAGAAACCCTATCTCAAAAAGCAAAACAACAACAAAAAAATCTGACCCAAGGGGTCAGCGGCAGAGATCCTACCCCAGCACAGGGAGAGTTAGAATTGTCTCCCGTCTCCAGGACTGCTTAGTAATTCCCCCCCCCCCCCTTTAAGGCTTGATTTGTTTGAACCTTGGATTGTGTGAGAAGATTAACTAGGCAGGGCTCTTTTCAGTCAGTTTCTTTCTAACTCAGCCCAGCCCCTTTGGTTGATGTTTCAGAAACTGGTAAGCACAAAGACCGTTTCCTGATTTCCTCCCAATAGATTTTGCTTTAGATGAGTGAAATAATTTTATTGATGGTTGTCTCAAAAGAACTGGGTCATTTGTTTTGGTTTTGTTTTTCTGGTCAGTATGTATCTTCCCTCCATGTGCATCTCTTACTCTGGGGGGTGGGATGGTATATCACATGGAATAGTGTATACACAACACTTGGGAGATACGTGGAAGGAAATCATTGGCAGTTTATGTGCATAGCATCTCGTGTGCAGGGTTCCTGTCTCATCCTTGTTATGCACTATGAGGCATTCAAGACTCCTATTACAGAATAGACACAAATAGAGCCTTTTGGGGCCTGGAACAGAAGGCTTTCTGTAAGATATCTACTATCTTTCTTTTGTTGGTTTACAAGCCCTTAAGGGTAGAAACATCCAAGACTGAATAGGTACACAGCAGCTTTGGTGGGAACTTGTGTGGAATAAATGTCTACTACATAAAACCAATTGGCTTTCACAGATGAGGAAAAGGTGCTCCAGGAAAGGAGGCAGGACAAAGGGGCAGAGCCTTAACAGATGCCTCCCCATTATACGTAGGCTCATTATCTAGCCTAGGCTCAGACCCAGATAGTTAATCTAATGTCAGAGGTCATCCAACACTGTTTCCCTGCTAGTGTTGGATGCTGGGGTAAGGAAACCAGAAAAATGTGAAGTTTATTCTTCATGGGGACCCTTTCATTGAGCCAAGTTAGAGGAACAAAGCCCATTCAGCTGTTAGATGACAAAGAGGCAGTATGCGGGCAAAAGAAATGTGGTTTGAAAGCCAGAGCTCAAATCTAAATTGTAATGCAGCTGGGACTGAGTGTGCAAGAAAAACACTCAAGATAGTAGAGGACTTGGGAAGAGCCATCTGCCCAGTAGTCAGGTAGTTGGAGCATAGTGTGTCTCCAAAATACCAGTGTGTGTGGGGGGGGGGGCAAACAACTGAAAGTTGGTTCTAGTACAAATGTAATATAAACACTGGGTATAAGTGCATTTGCGCTTCACATAGAGGGATCCTTGGTGGGACACAGACAGGAAGTTGTGTCCTGGTTCTGACAAATACACAGACCCTGTGCCTGGCCTTTCCATAGCCCTTCCGATTGAAGAGCTGGCTCCACACCCAGGCTTCAATTTGTTGACCTTGGCAGTGATCCTCAGATAGCTAACCATTTGGTAGCATCTTACAGTTTGCAGAGCACTTTTTTTTCTCTCTTTTTGTAAGTCTCCATTATCTTTTTTGGCGGACTTTCTTAAATAGGAACACTTGGTTGAAATCAAATCTGAAAATACGGCTCTTGGCCTCCAAAATTATTGTCTTCAGGATGCTCACAGTGGCTACTGTTGACATCAGTCTAGACTCTGGGAGGCTGGACGTGTGGGCCTTGGCCTCAGCTGTGTAATCTTAGAGGGCATCCCAGGTTGGTGAGGGTACTGGTGAGGTACCACTTCTCAGAACTCCTAGGAGGAGGCAGGGGGTGCCTTTCCCAGGGAATTTAAGATGGATGTGCACTTGGGATTGAGAATTACATTGCCTCACCTTTATATGGCACAGTTCTCCATTCAAGCATACTTTGTTTGTTTTCTAAGCGTCCATTGTCTGCTGACTGGATGCAGTCACTGCTAAAGGCTTTAGAAATAGTTTCAAATTAAAGGTTGCTTTGTGGCACGGTAATGCTTAAGATGACCCTTCAAATGTTTAATGCTCCACTTCCAAGCTCATGCTCAAACAGTGTTCCAACATCTTATTCTGACCATCTTGATTCAATGTTGAGAAGTTAACCTGCTAACCTTTACCCCATTCGTTGAATGTTAACTGGGATATTAACTCCTTGTGTACTCTGTCAGGAACAAGGGGAAAGGTAGGTACAGGGATTATGTGCTGGGAACTGTTGGCAGGTATAGCTCACTCAGGTGGTCTCAGAACATCCATGGTATCTGCTGTGTTGCCCTGTAAATTGAGTAGGCCTGTCCCAGATGATTCTGTTTCCATAGTGAAGGGGAATCTGTCCCCATCACTCAGTAATGTGCAGTTTGCCAGTTATGTGAAAGACACTTGGGTATGGGAGAATCACAATGGAGCCCACCCAGGCTACCCTCAGGGCCACTGACAGAACATTTCTCTAGACAAAACTAGAACACAAAACACACTGGCAGCATCTGCTCGGTAACAGCATTCCATGGCAGGTGTTACTCTGAGGTGTGCAGCTGAAGGGATGCAAGTACAAATCTTTATACTCGGGACCTTACATGGCAAAGAGACCAAAACAAACAAATGAAAGGAATAAACCAATGCTAGCATTCGTCAGAAGATGTTAGCCACTGTGGGAAGGGGTTGGAGGAGACAGGATGGAGTGGAGGGCTACAGCTTTAAACCTTGAGGTGAAGGCTCATGGTTGAGCAAAGACTTGAACCATTGCCAGTTAGAAATCTGAAAGAGTGAAGCTGGCTGGGTTATTGTGGAAGGGGGTGGACTAAATTGCAGGGTGGGAGTTGGGTGGTCCACAGTTGAGAGATGAAGAGCAGTGCCTCCCAGGGCAGCACAGACATTCAGGATGCCAGGAATCGCTTTGTTCTTGGCTCGCTGTTATGCGTTATCTGAGCTCGGGAGTGATCTCATCAGATGTTTACTTCACAAAGTAATATCTTGACTTCTCAAATTGAAAGGGGCGGGAGAGGGCAAGGAAAAAAACAAGAAAACCAAACCTGAAGTTGCCAAATGTAGATGACATACAGGGGGAGGCATACAGTTGCAGGCTTACATTGGAGCCAATAATTTTGGGATGGTTGTTGGAGTAAAGGGGATTTAATTACAGCTCCAAGGTTTGGGGCTGAGGAAGGTTGAAGTTGCTGTGAACTGGAACCCAGAAAGAAATCTGAGGAGAAATGACTTGTGGTTGGGGAAAAGCAAACCTCCACCCAGGACATATTTAATTTATGCAACCCTTAGAAATCAGCTGGGAAACTGGAAGGTGTTAAGGGGGAAGCTTCACCCCAGTCACCAACATCCATATACCCAAAGCACCTGGGATGTTATGTCCAGTCGCTGGCACCCAGAGTCTGGAATGTTATGGTGGAGGTTCTTCCCAAGCCCCTCTCCCCCATCTCCCTCCATACCCTGCTGCATCTCAGAAAGCTGGCCAAATGATGACCCCTCCCCCAGAGATGCTCAAGACCACTACCACAGGGTATTTAAACTGTACCCCAGAAACCAGACTTGAGTTTTTTCCAGGCTCCTTTCCCATCTCCTCTCAGGGGGAGGGGTGGCCTGGAAGGCCATCCTGGAGTGTTGCATCCATTACACGTATTAAACGTGGACTTTTTCTAACTTGGTTTGATTGGTCTGGTTTACATTGCTGTATCCGCAGAGAAGCTTATGAGGGTATAGAAACTTTTCAGAGAGATGGCTCAGTGGTGATGAGCACTTATTGCACTTACAGAGCCCTGAGTTCAAGTCCCAGCTCCCACATGGTGCCAAGCAACTGTCTGTCACTCCAGTCCAAAGGTCTGGCATCCCTCTTTGAGGCCACAGAGTATGCACATGGTGCACATATGTAACACATTGACTCAAGCAAAACTGTTACACACATAAGATAATACATTAGAAAAAAAGATCAGATGGGGGTTATCAACAGGAGTCTGGAGTTGAGGGAGGACCCCCAGCTGGAGCTGGGAATCAAAAGTGCATGTGGAGGTGTGAAGAGCGGACACTGAACGGAAGCATTGGGGGAATAAGCATAGAGAGAGGACCTGTTTTGCTGTGCCTTCTGACACCCCACAATTAAGACATGGGAGAAACAAGAGTCGGTAAAGGAGACTGGAAAACTAGGAGCAGGGGAGGGAGAAAGAGCGGGAAGTAGCAGGAAGCATCTCCCGCAGCGAAGCAGGCTCCATCCACTCTTTGGACAGAAGAGGACTGAGGCTGGAACAGCAAGAATGGTCTGGTTTGACTCGCACAGCACAAGAAGTTCCATGCGGAGGCAGACAACTGATCAGCACAGGTGGAATTCGGAGTTGGAGTTAGGGCCAGGGGAAGCCCTGTGAATTTCAAAACCTTGGCTTGAGCTCAACTCCGCCTTCTGCACGTCCTGCTGCCTCCAGGCACAACTGCTGAATGAGTGGTAGATTCCTTGCCCACAAGTTCATAGTAAGTACAGGAGCAGGGGAAGGAGGAAGGAGCAGCATGCTGTTGCTAGAACCTTCCTGCCCCTTTGGGGCTCTGTGTATTCTTGTTTTATGTTCTTAAAGAGCATTCCTACTTTGGGAGCATTAAATGCTAGTAATTACCTTCGTATTTTATAATTAGCATATGTTCTTTGTGGAAAATTTAAAACCTCCATAACCAACATTTCAAACTGTTTTGAAAATTTCAAGCTAGAGATCATGTTTAATAACAGCTCACTTCTTTCTCCACAGTGTTTTTAAAATATACAAAGTTGGGTTGCAAAATGGCTCAGGGGAGGAAAAGCATTTGTTGCCAAGCCTGGTGACCTGAGTGTAATTCCCACAACCTACCTGGTAGGAAAGAATCAA